AACCCTTCAGAGCTCTTCCTAAAAAGTATTGAATAAAAGCTAAATCCCTTTGTTAATCTTGCATTAATACTAATTTTCAGTCGTTAGTATCGTAAGATAATAATATCAAAGAAAATAAAGTTGCCATCTTGCTAGGCAATAAAGTTGCCAGATCTGCAAGCAACTAAATAGACATCTATGATCTACATGATTATCAAAGGCAATAAAATTGATATCTAATAATTTGCATAATTGATCGACAGCAATAAAATGGACAAATTGATCTTCATAAAAGATCTACATGGCAATAAAATGGACTTAATATTCTACCAATTAAAATCTATCTAAAATTTTACCCATCACACCTCATACTTAATGTCGATAAATTAAAGAAATATAATAATATTCTCCGCAAATACTCATTATTGTTTATAGATCAATTCTTGGACATCAATGGTTCTCATCTACTAAACTGGAGAGAAATTACTCAAAGAAATATATATGATCACATACCCACCGCTCACACCCCAACCTATATTATAGAATAGAAAAGAAATTATTAGATAGCACAAATAATAGATTAGTTCATAGTTCTTTTAGATTAGATAGTATTAATAATAGTTATATAGATAGTCCTAATATAGAAATTAATTTAGATAATTTAAAAAAAGAATTTGTGATTATTCACCATCCTGTTAAGGATGCAACTATCATTGGAAGAATCTTTAGAAAAATGAAAAACCAAAACAATATTCTCATTTAACACTTTATCAAAGCTAACCCCCACTCAGATATTAGTCAAGACTACAATAATAGATCAATTGTTTAATGCCCTGGCTGTAATTTCAATGATGAAGCTTTATTAAATTTTTGCAAAAAACCACCCAATCACTTCCGAAAAATTTTTGGCAGACCTATCACTTATGTCACTTATATCAAAGGCTACAATGCTCTTACTACCATAATTGTGAAAAGAATTTGTATTGCTTACCCACTTAAAAAGACGTTATTCATTATGAAACAGACTCCTGAAAATTATATTGCATCTCATCATTATCAACTGTTAAGGAAAAATACTCTTAGTAAATCTATTTCGTCTATAACAACTTATCTATCTGATAATTATAATGAATGCCCAATTCAGCTAACAAATATTTCACTCATTAGAAAATGCGTAAAGGATATTTCATATCAGGATGAGCTCATTAATCTATCTCACTCATGCAAAGATCTTAATACACATAATTTCTATACTGATGGCTCTCTTTCTAACCTAACTTCAGAAGAGTGTAAAATAGGACTAGGATGGATTTGTCCAGATTTATTACATAACTACCTAAATTCCTTTAATGCTACAGTAGTGTATCACCCATCGTCCACATGAGCTAAACTATTTGCCTTACTTACTACTCTACTCGTTTATCTTCACCAACCATATATTTGGATAGTCAAGCTATTATTGATGGTTACTACAACTTTTGTCTGAATCATAATTTTACAATCAGGACATGTAAAAAAGTACCTAATTATACTGTTTTGATCTTAGCCAACCATATAATCAAAGAATTGAAACTCAATACTAAGCTGATTAAAGTAAAAGGTCATTCAGGGGACCATTACAATGACATAGCTAATAACTTAGCAAAAACTGGATGTTCTAAACCACCTTTATTACTTGATCTTACAATTTGTGATGATTTATAGCTTCTTCTAAGCTTTAACCAAATTCCTGTTGAATCTTCAACCAGGAAATTATGGAAAAACCTCAATGCAGCTAAACAATTCTCAACATTCTTGGACCTCAATAGAAATTCACAATTAATTCAGCAAACCCGTTCTTCTGATATTCATTGACTAACCTCTTTTTTCGTATTGTTTTCAAATATAGGAGGCCGCTATCTCATTTTTTCAAAGACGAAGAAAAGATTTTAAACTAAAATCCTTAACTGATAAACTACCCACAATAAACAAACTCTCAGTAAGAAGACCTGATTTATATAAAGACTGGCTTTGTATCTATTGTAAATCGTCTAAAGAAGACTATCATCATTTGTGAACATGCTCTCATAGAATATAGATAATCACAGAGATCTGTTTGTCTACTTTTAATTTCTCAACAGTTTAGTCTTAAACAAAATTGGGAAAAATGCCAATAGGCTTGATCTTTATCACACCATCAGACATCAACTTATGGATCTATTAGACCCTTTACTTAACTTAATTTCCTGTATACACTTGGCCAAAGGAATCATTTCTAACAAAATGTTCTTACTTCTTAAAGAGCTGTTCTCTCCTTCTAATTCAACAAGTCTCCTTATGAATACCTCTAATTTTCTCACTAACGCTTTTCATGTTAACATTTAGGCCCCCAGATGTAAGAAAATGATTTAAGAAAAAAAGAAAAATGGCATCTCTATGAAACTGAAAAAGAAAAAGGTCAAGATCAAACGTCCTACAAATATGAAATTCCCTAATAATAATATATCAAATAGTTGGATCACTTGGTATTATTCAGCTATGAAATTTGGTTTTTCTTGGTTCGACTTCTTGAATAGGTACTGATAGTTTCATTTGAATATCTTTTTGATGATCTAATCATCAAATATGGATTTTTGGTTTTTTCTGAGAGATGTTCTGGTGATTGGTTAATCCAAACGGATTTGTAATAGAATCACGGGGGATAGTCATAGTTTAATTTTTTATTGTTTTTACTTTCTATTTTTAGTTTTTCTTTATCATTAATTTTATTTGTAATATTATAACATAAATATAATAAACTTATGACAGAACCACATCGTTAAAAAAAAAAAAAAAAAACGTCATTAATGAATTTTTCTTCTTCCTCATTGGATTTTGTCCAAGAATTTTTATGTAAAAAATGTGTACATTCAAGAGCGACCATGGCTTAGCTTGTAAATAAAAAATAAAACTCTTTTATTTAAACTTTTTCCTCTTTTTATTCCCTATACTTCAAACAAAAAATATTTCATTGTTAGTCCAAAAGGTGGTGTTTTTTTGTTAAAATATTTTTTCGCCACTTCTCTCAAATATTTTTTTCGTTTGTTTTCCTTTTTCTTTTTTGCCTACAAAAAGTGGGCATCAAGGAGTATCTGAAATAATGATCAGGATTGACATATCTTTGAGTGTAAATAAATCTTACGTGATAACTATCCAATTACCTTCATAAATAACAATATTCTTTTGAAGATTTCCTGACGTCATAGAGTCCACCAATCCTAGTAAAATTTTTCAGTTCTTGCAACTATGTATTTTGGGCTCTATTCTTTTGCTGGTAACTGTAATCTGAATTGACAGACATATCAACATAGAAGTTTGAGATATCTGAAGAGCCTCTAACAGAACTTAGTATTTTGGGTATTCCTATTGTGGGAGGTTATTGTAACTTGAAATTAACCAGGCATTTTAACTAAGAACTTGTTGGAGTTAGTTGTCTTTTTTAATCTTTCTTTTTTCAGAAGCTAATCTCGGGTTCGTATGTTCTGAAGGGTGTAAATTTTTTTGTTAGTTAGGGATTAATAATTAGTTAAAGGAATAGCGTTGTGATATTGATAATTTTATTAGCTTTTCTCATTGATGAGTTGTTTATTAAAAATGGTTTTAGTAGACTTCTTGAAGAGAAAGTTAGTGATTGATCAGCTCAAATGGGCTTGAAATAGAGTCACGAGGGTAGCTGCAGTTTAGTATAAATTTCTTATTTGTATCTTTTACTTTTATAGATTAGTGCATCTAAACAATAAATCTAATTAATAAACTCATGGCAATATCATATCATTAAAAGTCAAAAAAAAAAAAAAAAAATGTCATTAACAAATTTAAATATGTTTACATAGTTAATATGGTTTACTTAGTTAAACTTGTTAATTAAGTTAACAATATTTACAAGGTTTCTGTAGTTTATTAAGTTATACTTTATCTTAATTTAGTAATAGAATTAGACCCAAAGTTTTATATAAATGGGATAGGAATTTCATGTATTTTAATCAGTCAGTTTTAGTCAGTGAGTCTTAGTTAGTCTTTAGTAAATTATAAGTCAGTTAGTTTATAGTGAAATCAAGCTAGATAGTCTTGATATTAATTATTAAATAAATTTTCTAATACAGTTTTAATATAGTTTATTTTATAGTTTACTCTTTAATTTTGTAAGTTCGCGAACAAGAGCTTATTTAAATTATTGAATGGTATTGATCCCAATTTCTCTAATTAATAAAACCAATCTTTACCTTATAACTTTAATTAGTTAAACTAGTAACATAAAACCCAATTCATCATTATTGCTCTCCCATATAAATATATATATTAATTGTAGTGATTTATATTGATAATTTTATTGACGTCAACAAGACTTTAGGATTGTTAATATAAATTATTATCCTTCAGATACTTAAAATGTTGCTATATGTATTGAAGTCTATTTTTCAGTCAGTAGACTTCGCAATCGACTCATATAACAAATTTGGTGTAGGTTGGATGGAAACAAAAATTAGAAATTAAAAGAATTGAGAGAAATTAAGGAATTGCAAATTAGAATTGATTGATGTCTAACGTTAGAGTTTATTTTAAACCTTTATACACACCTCAGTCACTACAATTGGAATTACAATTGAGAACTTTGAAGAATTTGCTTGAAAGCATCAGCGAAGATAAACCAGTATCCTTTGTGATAATTCAGCATATTCAAAAGGAATTGATAATATTAAGGATTTTATCAGATTTCATAAATTAAGACTAACTATTGAGAAAGTACTTGAATATGTGAATAACAAAATAGTTAATAATAAGTAGAAAGGAACATAATCAAAGGATTATTAGACATACTATAGCACACTTATAGAAAAATAAATAAGAGATAATAAGTAATCTAAATCCATCTTATACTGAATGTTATCTGATAATAGAATAACCTTCAGAAGCATTTGAAAACTTTTGGTATTTCTGGATAGTTTATGCAATAAAAGGAGAACAGTTTAATAATATAATTATTAGAGTTTTTGAAAAAGCACTTACATTAGAAGAAAATTCAGAAACATTAGGGAAATGCTTTGAATTGATTATACAGTCAATTAGATATCAACCACTTGCTCAGGAACCTTTAGAAACATTACTTGCAGACTTAAAAAGTGCTTGGAATAGTTATTTAGAATTTGATTGTTAGAAATTTGAGATGTCAATAAAATCAAGAACTAACTCTAAAAGTAATTCAAAAGAAACTTCTAGAAGAATATCTCAAAAATCTTCAAACGTATCAAAAATGAACGGAGATACATTTAATATAAATATCTCAATATCTGATAGAAGGACATCTGAAAATCAAGCTGATCCACATAGAGAATGGACAGTAACCCTTAATAATATTTTCTCTGATCATGTATTTAAGCAAAAGTATGAAGAAATAACTTTAAAAGGAGATAAACAAAGTGCATGGAATACAATAAAAAATAATCCAAACTATTTATCTAAATGTATACTCTTGATGATCTCGAAAACTACATATTAGATACTATTATATGTTGAATAAAAAAGAGAAAAACAACCCATTAAAAGATTCAAATCAATAGACCAATCCAGAAAATAAAGATCTAACAATCACAGAATATGATAATACATATCAAAATTATCAGGATGAAGAGGATCTTAGAACAACGTGAAATATTGAAGATACAACTTTCAGTCTGATTCAAAATATTTAAGAGAGAAGAAATACCTATTGGAACACAACTGATGATAGAGAAGAGGATACTGATAATAGAGAGAAACAAAGAAGACCAGAAGGAGAAAATGATATAATTACACAATTCTTGCAAGGATTTGAAGATTTATTAAAGGCATATATAGTAACTCTATATTCAATAGCCCACGAAACAAGGCTAGTGAATTTTTCAGAATTTAAAGGAGGAAATCAGGATCTAATTGAATAGTTAGAAGCTTTTGAACAAGCTTGTAAGGCTAATAGAGTTGCTGACAACCGTATTCTTGATATATTATCTAACTATTTAAAAGAAACAGCTCTTATATGGTTCAGCAAAAGTAATACTATATACTGGAGAAATAACATGTTGTGAAATAGATCCTTTGTTCACCAATTCAAGGACTATTATTGTAGTATCTTCAGAAAACAATAGTGGAAGCATCAGTTGCAAAATTTTAAGCAAAGGAATAAAGAAACTATCGATGAATATGTTGCTCAAATTACAGAATTAGGGAAAAGATTAGATTTACAAGGGATAAGGAAGAAAGTTGATAAAATAGCAGAGTTCATAAAGGGATTAAGATCAGAATTCATTGTAACAGTTTAATCTTCATTACCTAGAATAGTTGATAAAGCTATAAATAAAGCTTTGGCATTGAAGACAGCATATTCAATTAGAATGGAATTATCTGCATACTCAATGATACCAAATTATCTTTAGGGTATGAGTGGTGGATTTGTTCCAGCTCAAATAAGTATGACTATATTCTAACAAGCCTTACCAATAAATCTCTCTCAGCAAAATAAGTTAATGGAAGATATGATTGACCGAAAATTAGCTTTATTCATGTCAAAATTAAAAGAACAAAATAAGCCAAATAATAATAGTAATAATAATAATAGAAGTAACAATAGAGATACAAGAACTTGTCACAAATGTAATAAAGTTGGACACATCGCAAAAGACTGTAAATCAGAACAGAGGAACAATAACAGCTTTAACAATAATAAAAATAATAGTAACAACAATAATAATAATAATACAAAGGTATACTACAATTGTAATAAAACTGGTCACTTAGCAATGAATTGTTAGTCTAACCAAAATAACAATCAAAGTAATAATGGAAATCGTAATTACAACAATAAAAATAGAAATAATTAGTAAAATAATAGGCAATTCTCAGAAGAAAATCACCAAATAAATTTCTCTATCAATCATTTAAACTAGTGGACGTACCTTTAGGCAATATTGTCATGAGATATTGATAGGACATTGATAGGATGCTGATAAGACATAGATGGGACAAATAGGACATTTGGAATATAGTGTGAGACAGGTTAAAATATATAGCTGAAACATATATTTAGGATAACAAATCTTTAGGATATCAAAAATGTACATCACTGCCTTTAAGAGATAAGAGTGCAAATAATTCAAACCCTCTAAGAAAACAAATAAAATGGAATGATCTGCTAAAAGAAATTAGAGAATTTAAGAAAAAAGATTATGAGGATGAATATATTATTATTAACAAGCTTTCAGATAATGATGAATTAGTTGAGTATTGACACATTTTTCAAGGATATAATACTTCATATTTAGTTTGTGATTTTAATGATGTTAACTATCATAGTCACATGATCATAAGGAAAAAGAATCTTGAAGTTCAAAAGATTTTAAAGCAACAAGATAACAGAAAGCCAATTATATCTAAAAGCAACAAATCTAACAAGTCTCATAATCCAGTCTATGTAATGAACATTATCAACAATGATGTTGGAATATTTCTATCAAAAAGGATCAATAAACATAAGGAAATGTATAACCTCTGACAAGTTCCTGAAGGAAAAATTAAAGAAAATGAGTATTCAATCAAAGCAGTTATAAGAGAAACAGAAGAGAAAATAGGATTAATTATTAAAAATGATATACCAAAACTTATTTTTAATGATCCTGAATTTAACTGCGATATTTACATCACTAAGGTAAATATGAATACAACCCTTAGAAATACTGAACCAGATAAGCAAAGTTTATGGATCCTAAATGTTTTTGAAGAATATGAAAGGAAATGCAAAAAAAAAAGAAATGACTTCAACACATGTTAAATATTTCCAAAGGATATTTGAAAATTTAGAGATAGCTAGAACAACTGCTCAAGCTCAATAGGAAGAACATAAACCCCAGGATGCTTATTTTACTGAAGCTGAAGTTTTTGAAAGGAGAATTAATGTGATAATCAATACAGAAGCTGTAGGATGTATCATTACCAAAAGTTTCTTAGATTCTGTATATAAGAATATTAAAGTATCTATAAATATACAAATAATTAGTGTTACAGAAGCAAGGATAACGCCTTTAGGAAAAATGTTGAAAGTAGGCATAAAAATAAGAAAGTTTGAGGTCAAAGAGGATATGATAGTTACTGAATCCTCTGGATACAATGTTTTACTTAGAAATGATTGGATAACTATGCAAGTAAAAGCTGTTATTGATACAAATAAACAAATCATGATAATCAAACAAAACAATGAAACTGATGTTATTCTAATCACTTGCTTTTCCAAGATTGATTCAAAAGTATTTACTCCTATAGATTTTGTTAAGGTAGAATATGATGAGTTAGAGCTTGAAGAAATATATGAAAACCCTCAATAATATTTGAACGTATCCTTTGATAACAATATGATTACCATCAACAGTTAACAATATCTAACTGAATTTTTAGAATTTAGTAAACTTGAACTTCTTAGGACTAATAAGCATTAGAAAGGATCAGGACAATGCTTATATAAAACATTATCAAAAGGAGAAAATTGTTCATACTGTAAAGCATTACATCAGGATCTACAGGAATACCAAATAACTGTTTCAATTAATAAAGCACAAATTAAAGCAAGCAATAAACTGGTGGAAATATCAAAAGGAAAAGAAATACCAATAGAAAACTTAACAAAAGACCAGCAGCAGCAGTTACAACAGTTACTAGAGGAGAATAAAGATTTATTTGCCAATGAGAAGTTAGAATTAACACAAACCAATATCTCTCAACATGCAATTATCACGGAAAATGTGTATCCTATAAAAAGGAGACCATATGCAATATCTCCAAAGGAAAAGGAATGGATATCATCAGAAATAGAAGAAATGTTAAAACAAGGAGTAATCCGACCATCTAATAGTGCACCTATAGTTTTAGTTAAAAAGAAAAATTGTCAGATGCAGATGTATATTAACTATAAAGAACTTAACACAATTACAAGGAAAGATAATTACCCATTATTACGAATAGATAAGTTATTGGACTCATTTCAAGGCTCCTGTTGGTTTACTTCTTTAGATCTATTCTCAGGGTTTTGGCAAATAAAAATTTGACCAGAAGATGTAGAGAAAACTGCCTTTATTACTAACAAAGAATTGTATGAATTTACAGTAATACCATTTGGACTATGTAATGCTCTAACTATTTTCTAAAAGACGATAGATACTATTTTTCAAAAGGAAAAACAAAGTTTATTAAAATTTATATAGATGATCTAAACATCTACTCAAAAAAATTTTAGGAACATTTACAATACTTACAATTAGTTTTTGATCGAATTAGAAAAGCTAATTTGAGAATCAAATCAGACAAATATCACTTTTGTACTAATGAAATAAAATTTTTAAGACATGTGGTTAATGAGGAAGGAATCCAACCTGATCCTTTAAAAATTGAAAAGGTTGTCAATTATCTTAGGCTAAGAAATCTAACAGAATTAAGAGCTTTTCTAGAATTAGCTTCTTACTATTGAAGATTCATCAAGGATTTTTCAAAAATGTCAGCTCCATTGTATAAACTGACAGAAAAAGAGAAAAGTTATATATGAAATGATGAAAGGCAAAGAGTGTTTGATATGTTGAAAGAAAAATTGATAACAACACCTATTCTCATGTATCCAGATTTTGATAAACCTTTTGTTCTTTATACTGATGCTTCTCAGATTGGTTTAGGTGTAGTACTCTCTCAAAAAGGAGATGATGAAAAAGAGCATGTGATCATATATGCTAATAGAACTTTGAATTCAGCTGAAAAGAATTATAACACGATAGAACAGAAATGTTTGGCTATTGTGTAGGTAGTAAAATATTTTAAACATTATATCTTTAGAAGTAAATTTACAATTATCACTGATTATGCAGCATTATAATGGTTATTAATTGCTGATTCAAAATTAACTGAAAATAAAAGGATAATGAGATGGAGACTTACCTTATAAGAATATAGCTATGAGGTAAAATATAGAAAAGGAAAATACCACGAAAATGCGGATGCCTTATTTCAGATAAACCCATATGATTTTGACCCAACACAGAAAAATATATCACCACTACCAAATTATAGATTTTTCAATAATGGATAATGAATTTTATGAAAATCTAATCTAATACTTGAAAACTTTTACATACCCACCAGATTTTGGATAACTCTTAACAGATTAAATTGCAAAAGGATTTGACCTAATACATGATGAAAAATAACCCACTACACAAACGAACTAGAGATGAAGATAAAAGAGTAATTTTGCATGAACAAATGGAAATTATTCTTTATAATCTTCACAAAGATATGACAGGAGCTTACCTTAAAATTGATGCTACTTATGAAAAAGCAAAGAAAAAATATTATTGGCCTCAGATGTTTGATGATGTCAGGAGTTACATTCAGCGATGTGATAATTATCAGAAAAGAGGATCATTTAAAAGAAAAGAACCTTTGCAACCAATTGAAGTAAAAATACCCTTTCATAGAGTTGGAATTGATATAAAAGGACTATTATCTAGAATTTCTCAAGGAAATCATTACATAATTGTTGCTATAAATTATTTTACAAAATGACATGAAGCTAAATCAATATTAGATATTAAATCAGAAACAGTTGCAAAGTTTATTTTTGACGAAATTATTTGCAGACATGGTATTCCAGAAGAACTTCTATCTGATAGAGGAACTTCTTTCTTAAACAAAATAGTAGATACACTTTGTGAAAAATTTCAAACAAAACATCAACTTATTTCTGTATATAGGCCACAAACAAATGGTATAGTTAAAAGATTCAATAGAACAATTGGTGAATGTCTTGCTAAATTAGTTGCTGACAAAGAAAAAGAATAGGATGAATATGTAGAATCAGTTTTATTTGTTTACTGCATAATAAAGCATAATACTACTAGTTATATATCCTTTTACCTTCTTTATGGAAGACAAGTAAAACTACCAATTGAATTAAAAATTTCAACAGAATTAAGTAACAACAAAAATATTAAAGATGCATTAATGGAAAGATTATTTAAGATAATCAATCAATTAGAAGATGATCGACAAATTTCTCTTAATTAAATCAAGGTTGATCAACAAAAACAAAAGGATCAATATGATATTAGCGCAACATTTAAGAAATTTAAAATAGGTGACAAAGTATTAGTGAAACGCATATAGTTAAAAACTAATTTTTCTGCAAAGTTAGAGAAACGTTAAATGGGATCTTATTTTATACATGAAGTGCGAGGTAAAAATTACAAATTAAGAAATATGGATGAAAGATTGGTTAAAGATGTAATACACAGTGATCGACTTAAATTGTATTATGAAAATATTCTAGAATCTCAAATTCTTATATAAAGGCCACTCTTTCTAGATTTAAAATTCAAGAAGAAAATTCAAAAATGGCTACTCTATATGATCTTATAAGTCTTGACATTTTAGAAGTTAACCCTCAAGATGTTTTAGTGATACAACCTCCATACAATGATGATGATCATTTAGAATCAAAATTAAAATTAACTTATTGACAAATGGTTAGATCTGCAAGATTATATCAGCGTATCCTACTTTAACCTATGTATATTATTTAGGAATATTAATTGATTCATATGAAATTCCTAAAGATATTATTAGAAAAATAATTACACCTTATTACAGAAGAGCAGCTGAAAGAACTTATTTTATTTTTGAAAATAATATTTTTCAAATTTATTGATTGAAGTTTATAATATTATTTCTGATTGAAAGATTGAAAATGGTTGAATATCAGTCATTTTGTCAACCATTCTAATTTCGCAGTAGCTCAATTTTTTAAGGAGAAGATAATTAGTGGCACAGTTAGCACAGTCGAAGCAACAAATTTATTTTTTATTTTATATTATTTTATTAACATTTTATTTAGTTTATTTTTTATTTTTTTTATTTTAGTTATTTTATTTAGTATTTAGTTTATTAGACAATTTTATAGATTTAAAAGGCAAAAGTGCAAGGTTTTATTGATAATAGAAAAAGATACATGAAATTTAGAAAATTTAAAAAGTACAACATAAGAAGACTATTTAAAAACTATGTAGATAGAAAGAAAAGAAAAGTTAAAGAAATTGAGAAGATTCATTGCCTGTAGGATTGACATGAAGAGGTTTAAGTTTTACATTAAAATTATAGAGTTCCCCATTTTCAATCAATTGGTCATGAAAGAACTTATTGCGTTTTTGTAATCATTTTAATTCTATCATTGAATTATTCACTATAGAGTGAATAAATAAAATATCATCCCTAAGCTGATAGATTGTCTCTTCAAGTTTTTTATTTGTATCATGTTCTTGGGATAAAAGGGAAGAATATTTAGTTAGTTGATCTTTCAAATGTTCATGTTCAGAAAAAAGCAAATCAAATCAAAATTTCAAAGATTCGTCTTCAGAATTTTCTTTCAAAGGAGCCTTTTCTTGGACTGTTTTTGTATCTTCTATTTTTAGAAGGATAAAAAGTTAATATGCTGTAGTCATATTAAGATAAACTCAAATATACTATCATAGTTCTCAGACGTTAGGTGAGATGCATATATCTATTAAGCAGGACAAAATCTGTATGAAATGCATTCCACTCTATAAGCTGTTATATCTGTACCATTTTTAGGTATATTCAGGCTCACCTTGGTAAACTTTCTTGCTGAAATATTTTCTTTGATGAGCTAAAGTTCTGCAATGGGTGAAAGGAGACTTTTTCTTTTTATTTACTCAAATCATGATAAAAGATAAAAAAATATATTCTAAGGAAAAGTTTGAAATTTTATAATAATTTTTGGAGGAAAAGTAAAATTTTAAAGAAAATAAAAGAAAAATTTTGACAAATATTTATAAACAAAAAAAGTGGTTGTGTAGAATTCTTAAAAATTCTCAAGATTGTGAGAATTCCCCCCTTCAGAAATAATTATTGGTTCAAATTTGTTGATGAATATGGCGTGACATTTTTAAGGAATAAAACCTGTTTGAAATGAAAATCACGTAATTGATCGATAAAATTTGTAATTTTATGGAATAATTTGAAACAAATTGGAAATTTTGTTATTGAAGATCTGCAAACAAAGAAATTTATAACAAAAAAAATTTGTTTAGGAAGTATTTGACAGAGCTCACTCTTTAAGAAGGAAATTGTTAAATGGAATAACTCTTAAACTAATGATCAACATTTCAGTGAAAATAGTATCATTAGAACTGTCTTGAAAAGAGCTTTCTAACGAATATAAGCTCAACCTGATTGGACTAATATTTAGTGAGATATTTCAAAATGATTGTTAAGTATAATTCTATAGATCATTGCTAAACAGAGCTATATATAATTCCTTAATGTGAATTAGCAATTGACTGATCAGAATTACGAAAATGACGAAAACTATCGTAACGATGAAACCGATGATAACGTTGTTAACGAATTTAAATATGTTTACATAGTTAATATGGTTAAGTTAACAACGTTTATATTATTAAGTTATACTCTATCTTAATTTAGTAATAGAATTAGATCCAAAGTTTTATATAAATAGGATAGGAATTTCATGTATTCTAATCAGTCAGTTTTAGTCAATAAGTCTTAGTTAGTCTTTAGTAAATTATAAGTCAGCTAGTTTATAATGAAATCAAGCTAAATAATCTTGATATTAATTATTAGATAGATTTTCTAATACAGTTTTAATATAGTTTATTTTATAGTTTATTCTTTAATTTTGTAAGTTCGCAAATAAGAGCTTATTTAAATTATTAACTGGTATTGATCCCAATTTCTCTAATTAATAAAACCAACCCTTTACCTTATAACTTTAATTAGTTAAACTCATAACATAAAATCCAATCTATCATTATTGCTCTTTCATATAAATATATACATTGATTGTAGTGATTTACATTGATAATTCTATTGATGCCAACAAGACTTTAGGATTGTTAACATAAATTGTTATCCTTCAGATACCTAAAATGTTGCTATACACATTAAAATCTATTTTCAGTCGGTAAACTTCACAATCGACTCATATAACAATATAATTAAGCCACTAAGTATAATTTTATTTACAAAATGATCGACAAATGTATAATCCAGCCACAACTACCAGTCTAACCCAGTGAACCACCAGCAAAGAAAAATTCCAAGAAAAATCCTAAGTAAAAATAGACATCCCAACCACTACCCAGATCACCAACTGAAGTTAACATCTAACCTTTCCATAAATCTTTGTAAAATAACCACTGCTTCAAAAATGTCTCCTTTTGACGAAAGTTTTCAGCTTCTAACATATTTATTCTTTGTCTTAATGATTTTTCATAAGAACTTTGATCCATTATAAGATGTACCAGCCTATCATTCATAAGTAGGTTTCTTCTTTCTTCACTTTGATTTTGAACTTGTAAATTCACAAGTTATTCTTGAAACTCTTCATTTTCTTGAAACGAAAAGTTTTTTTACATTTCACTTTCTTTTATCAACTTTTCCTTTACAATTGCATTACCTCATAAAGGTTAATTGATTCAGAATTTTTTGCAGAAATTTAATTGTATCAGCATTGCTAAGCAAGTCTAATGGAAGTACCAAAGCAGGATGCATCAATCTTGTAATGATCTGAGATAGAAATCGCTCAAGTGTCCCCGAAAGGATAGGGTTAAAGAATATATCTTTGACAGTTTTTTCACAACTCACTCAGCTTACTGCATTTACAGCTGTACAGAATGTCATTTCGTCTAGATCGATCAACTTGTTTGTTTCATCTACGTACAATAAAAAAGCCGTTGTTTTACCATTTTGTTGTTGCTGGTCATACTTATCCATAGTAATAGTCTTTAAAACTGTTCCTAGCATTAAATCTCCTTTTTGTAAACCTAATATTATACATTCTTTTACAAAATATTCGTACTGCATATCTGAATTTCCTTCCACAAAATAGCAATACAGAATCTGTAAACAAAGTGCAATTTCCTCTTCAAGCTTAATATCATTATCAGATGCTGCCGATCCATTATCAAAAGTTATTACCACTGCCATTGTATTTGCAAAAATCTCCTGCACCCGATTATCTGCATCATTGATTGCCCTCTCCTGAACGAGATTCTTCAATTCCTCAAGCAGTCTAGTTTTTCCTGTCAGCGATAAGAGGTATAGAATGCATATTTCTATCGAAAAAGCCATTCAAATAATTAAAACACCGCTCTCGTATACCATTATTACCAATCTCGTCTCCATGCTAAAGAACATTTAATGCGTTTTCACGACCAAGAAATTGAAATCGCGCTCCAAAAGAACTTATAAGCTATCAACCAATAAAGCAATTTACATTATTAAGAAATTAATAGCACGAACACGTTTGATTACAATATCGAACATACCGATGATAGTGAAACGTCAGGATGGCATTTATAAGGAGATATCCACTGCAAGATGCTATCAGAGAAGTTCTAATCTGGTTGTTGAGAAGCATTCTCTAATGTTAAACGATACATAAATTTAAGTTAATGTAATATATATAATATGCAATAAAATATAATAAACAATCTTTTCAGATGAACGAATGATATTAAAATGAAAGTATAGTAATCAAAACATACCTAATGAAAGATAAGAGTAGGAAAAATAAATAAATGCATAATGAATTAAAATATTCAAGAGGATAATGTAAAAAATGTACCTTTATACGGAAATGGATAGGCAAAATAGATAAAAGAAATTTTGTTAAGTCCAGGGTCAAATAAAATATCATCATGAAAATGAAAGTACAAGATAAAGTTGTAAATAGTATACAAAATGGAAAATAATTTTTTATGCAATCAGGGAAAAAAATCACGAGATTAAGTATTCGATATTAGTAAATGACACAAGCGCAGACGAGGATGAAGCAACGGCAAATGATTAAAAGGTGTAATAATAAATAATCAAAGTAAAAAAAGTTAGTTATTGCAAATATTTACTATAAACAATAAATAAACGAAAAGGAACGACAAGAAAAATAATTTTTTTGTATCCTTATTATTATTCATTACCTTTTCCTTGTTTACTACCTTCGACGTTTACTTTTTGTAAAATATATCAACTGGTCTTCCCATTTCGCAACTGTCGCTTCCAACGCCTTCTTCTCTTCGATTAAGAAATCCCTCTCTGCATAACTTTCCTCACCACTTCTCCACAACTCAGCTAACCTTTTCCCTTGTTCTTCCTTAAACTGCCTCAAATTTTCTACGGCCTTCTTAAACCTCTCCTTTGCAAAGTTTAATTCATCGATTCTTTTGAACGTTGTCATTGTCAAATTAAATGAATCAAACACGATTTTATTTTTTATTTTGATTTATAAAGTAACGAGAATCGGTCATGTGACAGAAAAATAACACCGTGACAAATAGATATTTGTGGCAAATAAGATTTCGCCCCTTAATAAAGGGCGTCCAACTCATAGGAAGACTTTCTTCTAATTGGTTTAAAATATTAATCAGCATTTCTATAATAAGTACGATCGACAAAAAGGTT